TTCTTGCCCAAATAACAGACAAATTACCATTGGAAAAAGTTTTTTTTTGCCCAAAACTACAAAAAATGGCTTTAAAAAAACCAGTTTTTTTGGAATATCTGAGAAAGTACTCTCCCAAATGTGGAGTGGCATACATCGTTGAATTCGTAATAAAATTCTGATTCCGGTGGTATAAACACCCAAAAAAGTTGAAATTTTGCCATTTTTCGCAAAAAATGACGATGTTACCCCTTATGAAAATTGCGAAAATTGGCCAAAAATCTTTTTTTTTTTTTGAATCATCCAAAAAGTGATTGGGCTCGTTAACTGTGGTCATAAGGTGCTCAAAACAGTGTTTGGTTTTGCTGTAAGTCACTTTTTGGCCCCATTACAACCGAAAACTTGCACACCAGCTATTTAAAATTCATATATTTCTTATATTTATTTATTAAATATAGATATAGATAATATAGATATAGATAAATAAAAATACAGATAGCTTCGTTTTTCCTTGTGAGATTACCCCGCAGTTATCTTAAGTCGAAATTCGTTAAGCTCCACTAATAACTGAATTGCCCAGATGCTGAGTTTGAGAACAGATTAGCCTCCTTAAAATGGAAACATCAATGGAAGTGGGCGTGTTCCGGATGCTGCCCTTTGCCGGTTCATTAATATATCAAAGCTGTAACCACAGTCGGCAATGAACCCCATTTCCCTTCCCATTTCCCACACTAACCCCATTGGTTTTCCTCCCCTTCGAACGTAAAACGCCTTTTAACGGAAACTTATAAACACAACGCGCTAATTATTTTTCGACATGCCTGTTCTGTGGTTCTATCTCTTTCTGCGGCCTCTTGCCATCTCTTTCCTTGGGTTGCGTAACAAAATATTTGCGTTGCGGTTGCATGGGGAAACTTATTCACCGTCGCAGCCCGCTAAGCTGTATTTGGAATTTCGGAGAGTATTATAGCTTCAATTGGGAAATCAGAAATAAATGGTTCGGTTAAAAAGAAATCAAATCACGGTAAGGATAGAATGTTAACCATTTATTACGATATTATGCATGGTTCTTTCAATTATTTATTTTAAGCGTTCCCTGATTTTCCTATCCAATAAAATGCTATTTTCATTTTTGGAAATTACTGATTACTTAAAGTTTACTTTGTGTGTTTTATGCTGGTGCTGCTCGAATGCTCTTCTAACTTGACGGCAAATCGATATAGTTTCGGATGGGCAGATTCCCCCGAAGATGTGCGAAAACTTCAAACTTGTCCGTAGTTTATGAAGTGTTTTATTCGTGCCACGAGCCATAACTGGCCAACTTGTTGTCATCGTTTTGCCGGCTTGTCTGAGCCCGCTTATCGGGATGGGGCTTTCGGAGCAGACAACGTGCTCAAGACATTAGCGGGGATTCCCTTGGCGGCGCCCCTCTAATGCCTTTCCGCCAGCGGAGGGCGTTTCTGTGACGGCATTTGCCATTTCCGCTTCCGCTGCACGTACGTGGCACTTGGCCTAACTACTTGCTACACAGATAGACCTCCGAGGTCACGCCCACGCACACGCCAAGAAAAACTTGGATAGCTATCCAAGATGTTCTCAAATTTTTAGATTCCTTTTCAACTTATCAGTAGAGAGAAAAAAATGTTTATACTAATTTACAAATATTTATGAAAAATTCTCATTGAGTTGATTTAGTTTCCAATATTTTCGAACAAATATAATTTTTGTCTGTGCATTGGAAAACTCGCCCAAATGTGTGTGGCAACATTGTTTGTGGTTCTTGTAGTTGTTGTCAGCTCGTTTTTGGCCTGCCGCTTATTGTAGTTAAGTTTTATGCCGCCATTTTCTTCCGCTTTGCGTGTTGCACGTACTTTGCCCCTGTTTTTTCTGCTTTTGCCACTTCCCTGATGTCTGCACTTCCCCTTTCCCTTTCCCTATCCCCCTTCTCTTTTCCATTTCCCATTTCCCTGCTCCTTTCCTATTGCTTGCCACCCACTCCTCTGTCGCTCATGCACTTAATTCCATTTTCACTTTCTTTAATGATGCTCAATTTTTTGCATCATTAATCTTTAGCGATTTTCAGCTTTGCCGCTGACTGACACGTCGTCTCAACGGGGTTTTCCCTGCACTTCCCCGCTTTCCACACCCGCTCCCTCGCCGCCCACAAACTCCTTTTTACGGGCTGCCTCAGCTGTTTGCCCTAATAAGCATGCTACAAAATTTGTAATTACAATTTCTGGATAACTGGCTGTGAGTGCTGGGAAAATTCTCATAAATTTTATAACAGAGGTTTGGGAACGATTACAAAACGGCATAATTGCAGGTATTTAATTCATGCCACGACTTAAACGTTATATAAAATACTTCATTTGAAGAAATTATTGTGTTTCTCTGCTCATAAGCACATTGTTTAAATTGAAAAGCTTCGACCTGGTTGAAATAGTGCACTGAATTACTGAAGAAATTACCCAAGCACTTGCCATTGTCACTTCCCATAAATCAATCGCTTAAAATGTAGCACTTTTATTGAACTTAAAACTGTTGGTATTTGTGTCAACTCATTCGAACCGGGTGAAAAATGAAGCCTAGGCAGCCAGCCTTGATTGATGAACCCATCGATTATTAAATGCCACACTTTGCACTCCTCGCCGGCGATTTTTCGATGCGGTCATGGCCCGATGGACCGGGTTGCTGGTCGAAATTGATTTGATTGCCCTCCCGCCTCGATTTCCTATTCGGTCGCACAGATCAGCGGCTGCCGCTGGCTACGCAGAGTTCCCCCCTCGCAGAGTTCAGAACAGAGCCCAGAGCCCAGAGAACCCACAGAACCCCCTTCGAAGAACTTGCATTGTTGATGCTGTTTTCATTTTATTTCCAATACGAGTACAATATTTCCACTTCGTCCTCGTCGTGCTGCTCGCCCTTCTCGCTTTCCTTAAACAACTTTTTGCTGCTGCTGTTTTTATTTGAAGTTTGCAATAAAATAAAAGCCACATGGAGCCGGGGGATTAGTGGGGCCTGAAGGGCGTTGGGGGGGGGGCTGAAGGGGGCATGGTCAGAGACCGAATGGCCACGGACCTCGGCCCTCGGCCACAGACACGGAACGCGCAACTATAAAGCAAAAAACCTCATTCATATAATTTATGTGTGACTCCCCAGGGATGGCAGCGTGACACGTGTCCTGGCGTCACTGGCCATGTCCTGCCACCGACGAACCCGCAAACTTGTCTTACTTTCTCTTTTTTTCAGCCTCATTTATGCAAGGTGATTTATTCGACGGGCAGAGGTGTTCGGAGCTAGTTATTTGAAGACAGCTTTTACCCGAAAATATCTTTCGGTGTTTTACTGATTAGGAGTTGATTTAAACATTGTTACTACATCTCCGATTACATGTCTCGATAACACCTTATTTTCACTTCAATTAAAACATTAATTGCGGTAAAGTACCGTTTATCCAAGACGATTGATAACTTAATGAGATCGATAACTCCGATGAAAGTGCCACCTCTAGGCCATTCGCAGTACGAGCTTCCGAAAAAGGGCTTCTGCTCTTACTTCTGCTGGTTGCATTTTATTTTACCATTTCGTTTCGTCCACGCCTGAATTTATGAATTTCGACCCGTTGCCGTTGCCGTTCCTCTTCTTCCTCCTCGTCCTGCCACGCCTCCTCGGCCGCCCCCGCCATGTGGCGCATCCATTGTTGGCCCCGCACATATGCGGTTTTATATATTGACACTTAAAATTTATGGGACTTAAAAATCTACAAAACGCTGCCACGTTTTGTCCTGCAAAGTTGGTTTAGAGCTTTGGGTTTCAGTTTCAGCGGCTTGGCGATGCAGACAGCGGAGGGGGAGGGGGGTTGCAGAGAGGGGGGTGGGGGTCGCAAAGTCGGTGGTTGTGCCCCCGACAAAAGCTTGGCACGCCCTTTGTTCAAAAAATGAAAAAAAAACAGAAAACAAGCAGCAGAAAAACAGGAGTCAAGGCTGTGAGAAGTCAGTTGACGGGAGTGTGGAAAGTGCAAAAACTAAGCAGCAAATCGTGTGTGAAATTAACAGGCTTGCCGCAGCCAGGGTTGTCACGCCCGCGGGGAGAGATATATCGAAAAAAAAATAAAAACAGACGAACCAATCCACTGCCGCCGAATGAGTGCAAATGTGTCGAAAAAAATTGATTTCTTTTGGGATGTGAAAAATTATGGGTTCAATTTAGCGTACAAATAAACTCATTTACGTTTAAATATGTGTGATCAAATCTACTATTGTGCAAATCAATTGGACAATAACTATATTTTGAATATAGTTATTTTATTTTCTAATATTTGCACAACCAAGAGAAGTGTTATGCGCATTGTCTGCTAATCAAATATACGACTGAAGGCAAATCTCCAGGAGACTGCTCCACATTCAGCCAACTGGGTTGCCAACTCATTTGTAATGCAAGTTTCCTTGTGTAGAAAAGTTGCCTTCCGCTTCCTTTTCTTCCTGCTCTGCTAATTAAATATAACTTAAAGTCTATCAAAAACAAATTAATCATTTAACAGCCGCAAATTGCCAGAAGTGCGGCTGCCAGAAGTGGTTACTTTGGGTGGCAACTGGGTTGCTTTGGTGGCTCGGTGGCTCCGACACACCAAAAGAAGCCAAGCCAATAAGCTGGAGGCACTTTCTATTTCGTTTCCATTGCTGATTTCATTCAGTTAATCAGCTTATTGAACTTGAGGTTCACTGGCTGGCTGTGGGCCAATCTCCCGGAAAAGCCGGGCTGGGAAAACGAAAAGTTGGCAATTGGGGATTTGGTTTTTAAGCAGTTGCAGCTGCTGTCCACGGCGGACTCAAATCAAATTCAATTTGCCGGCAGTGAGTGTGTGCGGCAGCTGTGGCAACTCTGGCAACTCTGGCCGACTCCCAAGCTCAATTAATTACACAATGAGTGGAGTAGAGTTGGCTTTATGTTTTTCCTTTGGCGCCCTCCCACATCATAATTGCTATAAATTGTGATTGCCTGTCGGTTAGATTATCACTCACCTGAGTTGGCTGAGTGGACAGCAAGTCGATGTGCTCCTCGTGTTGCTGCTGGCGAGCCAGTGTTGCCGTGGGTGTCAGATGTTGCTGCTGCTGCTGTTGCTGCTGTTGCTGTTGCTGTTGTTGCTGCTGGAACTGCTGCTGGTAGTGCTGCTGCTGCTGGTATTCATATTGCTGCTGCATTTGATATTGCAATTGCTGGTACTTCAAGTGTTGCTGCTGCTGCTGCTGTTGTTGTGGTTGTTGCTGTTGCTGTTGCTGGTGTTGCTGCTGTTGCTGTTGTCCGTGCACCAGGCAACAGCAATAGAGAACGATTGCCAGCAATTGAATCGTATTGGCAACACTGCGTGCTGTTTTATTTATTGCTGACGACGGCATGTTGCCAGTCGCTGTCTATATGGTGGCGGATATATATGCGGGTATATCCGATTCCTCCTCGCTCCTCGCACAATCCTATTTGTGCCAAGTATGCAACACTTTGCTTGCCGCTGTGTTTTCCTGTCTCTGGTCGATGGTCTCTGGTTTCTGGTTTTGGGATTCGGGTTTCGGGTTGCGGGTTGCGGCTCTCCTCCTCCTTCACCAGTTGCCGCCTTTCGGTCCTGCCCCACTGAAAAAAAAGAAAAGAAAAGAAAAACATTTTCAGAGAGTGGCAAGAGCGCAAATAAATCCAACTTGTTCTTAAGTATCCGACACATATAGCATATAGCATATAGCATGTGCATGGAATATGGCGAAATAAGCAAACAGTTCGCCATTCATTCATTCCCATCTCGAGCAACTTTTAAAAGTGATTTCCAGTCGGGGAGTGCTTTAACTAGAGCAATATAAATAGTACGAGTATCAACTGTGAAACTGAGAAGTTGTAATTTGTGTTTAAAGAAATTAAGTTTGGCTATTGAAATGTTTTTATTCAGAATAACACATATTACTTCAGGGCTAAGAAGACAGACATTCCAAGATCGTTCTCAAATTTGCAGTACAAAATTGCTGCTTGCAGTTAATGGAATTTTTAAGCACCGAAGCGGGCAGGAAAATAAGGCGGAAAACAATATAAGGGGAGGAGGGGTGGCAAGTGGCAAGTGGCAAGTGGTGTGTATCATTTTCATATGCCGTGGATATAATTGTGGCCACAAATGAAAATGGCTGCGGCAAACGCACAACAGAAATAAAAATATAAGAAGAGGCAACAATTAAAACAAAAGAAAATGGCAAATAATGAGTGCAATCGGCAAAATGTCTGCGTGCAAAAATCAAAAATACGATTTTCCATAATTAATGCACGGGCCAAACGAAAAACAAAACAATTTTCTTTTTGACTAAAAGAAAGACGACGGCGGCGGCGAAGAAGTGCCGGAGAGAAGAAATCAATTTCACTTTTCAATTAAATGCCGGGGAAAAGCGGATGATGATGTTAATGATGGGGATGAGCCGTTTTTCCACCCGGGGGGAGGTGGGCTGCATTTTTTAATATCTATGCAATAAAAGTTGCTGCGAAAATTGCACTTTGATGTGGCTGGCGAGTGAAGCAAGTGGTGGCGGCGGCGGCGGGGAGGGGGCGTGGCTTCGAAGAGCCGGCAGCAATTACATGCTCACTCCCTCTGCCCGTCCCACTCGCTCCCCATCGCCCCTTCTCGCTCTGGCGCCTTTTAAGCTGCATAATCATAAATTTTACTTGCGATATATTCAACCAGCGGAAAAATAAAAGATCTTACAGCAGGCTGTGAGTTAATGTGAAGTACGAATGGCAAACTGTGGATGCCCTTTGGTGAACCATAATTCCAGCTAAAAAGTTTTCTTCTATTAATATTACCACATATGGATTTTGTTGTTAAATAAACTTCCAAACGAGAAAACGGTTTAAATGCAATATCATGGAACTCCTTGAAAATATTTTAAACCATTTTCCTGGCCCTTAGAATTTGTTTGCTTTATTTTATTTACACTTTGCTGTATTGACTTTCCTCTGAACATTTGTAAAGGGCAGACGTTCAGGAAAAAATAAGAACATTTTATCGCTGGATATGAATGAATGCGTAATACATACATGCTTCGGCACTTACACACACAATACACACACACACACTCAGCAATGCAGGCTGGAAAAATAAATTTTATATTGCTGGGCAGGCCGCAAAAAAATCGAATCTCAACGATGCGATTGCCAACAACTTTTGACTGCGTTAACAAACTTGTTTTTACTGCTGTTTCCGGTGCTACATGGCCACATCCCCGCCATCGGGACGCCCCTCTTGTTTGGTGTCAATGATAGCGGGAATGATACTTTGTGTACACACTTCATTTGCACAAGTGTCCGTTGGCCACGGCCACAGCAATGATCGTTCGAGTTGAATGGCGGCAGACGGGGCGTATACGCAATACGCAACGTCCCGTTGGCCCTTTCGCCGACTGCTCTGCAAAGTGGGCCAATAATCATCGTCATTACGCCAATCAGCGAGCCAGCTCAACTGAAATGGACTGGGCCGAGGTGTTTGCTTTCATAAAGATAATGCCACGATATGAAATGTGGAGAGCTATGCCATCGAAAGGCAGCCAACAAGACATCGATGCTTTAAGTACGTCTACATAACCTGAATAAAACAAGATACCGAAATGGTAAGCTTTTTAAAATCTAATGGAAAACTTATCACTAAAAAACTACTAAATACAGAATACAGATTTAAGATTATTACTTAAGAGTATTACTTTTTAAGCATTTATTGCAGGCAGATGAAATTGTGTCAGAAAACGATTCTCTTTGGGATTTTCTCGTCTGCGAAATATGAACACCCTTCGCCGCGTTTATTGACAGCCTCGTAAAATTGATAAACAATAAATGGCATCGAATCTTGAGCCCCCACTTGCCGCGCAGGAATTACATAATGTCCCCATAACCTGCTCCTCCTCGTAAAGCACTTTAATGGGGCTCAGAACTCAACAAGGGCCGCTTAAGAGTCGAAATCCGAGGAGGTCGCCTGGAATTTTATGCCCCCACGGAGAAGCAGCGGAGATTTCGACGCCGCTGCCCACAAAAATCGAGGGAAAAATTGCAAGCGAAGTGTAAAATTTATGATAAAAACGTGCCACGCTGATAAGAATGTCCTGGACGGGCGGAAGTTGCTGCAGGAGCGAACCGGAAGTGGACAGGGAGCTGTTGCTCGATTGCTCTCTTCTTCGGAATATCAATATCTAATTCTCTTCAAATTTATTTAAGATGTTCTTTAACATTTATATATAATATATATTTAGTTGCAAAGGGATATAGGGAAGCGACCCTTTGAAGCATCGCCGGTGCTTCCTGTTCTTCCGGGCAATTAACGCTCGTCAAAGGAGTGGCAAGAGGACGAAAGATATAGGTATGCAGGATAAGGCAGCCGCGTCTTCTGAGCGGCAGGTGGTGCCAATTGGCCTTATCCTTCGGTCAATGCAATCAGGCTCGATGGGAGCCAAAGAGAATGCCGCAGAAGGGCTGAGCTGAAGGGCTGAACAGGTGAACAGCTGAAAGTCGGTATGAAAAGTGGTTGGAAAATACTGATGATGCTCCTGATGATGCTGCTGTTGATGTTGCAACGGTGTGGCACGGTGGCACGGCCTTAGGCCAACTGCAGCATATTTTCCGCTCCCGATTCGAGGTGTTCGCAGGGCACAAAAAGCCGAAGACCCCCGGCCAGCTGCATTGCTGTTTTGATTAAAAGCATCCGGCCTTTGAGCCTCAACAACAGCAGGAATTGGAGTCCGAATCGGAATCAGAATCGGAATCGGAGGAGCCTCCCCTGCAGTTCCGCTCCTGCCCCAATGTATGTGTGTGTGTGTGTGTGTGCCTAATTTGATTTGCATTCCGACAAATTTCGATCTCTCACCGTTTCTGGCCAGCGGCTATTTGGCACACAGTGCGCCGAGCTTAACTCTTGGCCAAGGCTCAAATGGTCCCCAGCGGAGCACGTGGCTGCACGCCAAGAAATAATGGCCATTCTCATTCCGCAGTTGATTACAAGGAGATCGAAGATTGAAGAAGGCTATTCCCATTCCGAAGTTGATTACAAGTAGATCAAAGATCGAAGAAAACCTCACTGTAAAACCACCTTTCAAGTTCGGAAAGTGAGAACAGGAATCTAACCAAGTGTTTTCTCGCAGTGTGGCCAGTGAAATGCTCACTGCTGCTCCATCAACTGCAGCACTCGAATCGGGATTTGGCTCCACCGGATGCGGATGCGGATGCGGATGAGCCACCGAGTGGAGCTTACCTCAATCGGCGGGCGCTTAACCTTTTGGCCAAGTGCCCGAATTGTGTCATCTTCGCTTCTTGCAACTCACTTTTCGATTTTCGCTTTTGTCTGGAGCCCATTTTTATTCATTGAGACATTGCGTATACGCAGCGTGGCATAATTTATGCATGAATGCGACTGCAGCGGCTCGGTTGGGGAAATACGTGAGTTATGGCAGCCGCTGGCCAGAAACGAGGCCAAAAGCCAGGCCAAGGAAGCCCAGAACCATTCGAAGTGTTTGACAGCCAAGGCGCTGCAAATTCCCAAAACTAATCAGCACGAAAAACGGGGCTCGCTCGCCAAAAAAAAGAAAGGGGCGACTACTTTCAGTCCTGTTCCCAGGCAGGAATCATAGCACAGATAGTCGGAGGAGCCTGGCCCACTGGCGCATCAAGTAATAACACGCATTTCAATGGCTCCTCGGTGCTGTAAACTTGTCCCATAAGCAGGGTCAACTCGGCACTGAGGAAAGAGTTTGGGAAAGTGGGAAAGTGGGGAAGCAGGAAAAGCAGGCAGTGCACAAAAAACCATTAATCAAATGAGCTCCTCTGCCTGCACGTGTATGTGTATGTGTGTGTATTGGTGTGTGTGTCAGGCAGGAAACGGAAGTGTTACGCTAAGCCATTTTGTCTGCACGTTTGTCAAACGAGCGAAAGTTCCTGACGAACCACTGGATGCCCTTAGTCCCCTGGGAAAAAGGAGAGAATGATGGGATTTTCTGGCGGGAAAAGGGAAAAAAAGAGGAAGAGAGGTCGCAAGGGCTGGGAAAACATTCATCGGAAGAGGATTCTTCAGGCGAGTGCCTTTGAACAAGTATAAATTAATAAATGCCACAGCTTTGTCCATTAAATTCAATTATGAAAAGAATGCATTTTTCATGAATACAAAACAGTGAAGCGAAAAAGGAAGAAAGAAGGCACATACTATATGAACTATATAATATCTGAATATTTGAATAACGAGTTCAAATATTTGTTTAGCATCGAAAGCACGCATTGTTTATTGTTAAATGAATGCCAAAATGGAGTCTTTTTAAGGGCAATTTCACTCGGTTGGCACGGCAATTATGCGAATGCCTCCTCTTTTTTGACCCCGGGCTCTGCTTCGCACTTGTGAGCCGGCCTCAACTTTTATCTCGCCGCCCCCTGTCACCCACCCCCACCCACCACCCACCAACCAGCATCGAGCATCTCGTTATGGCCATAGGCCAAATCCGAAGCCAAATGCAAAAACTAAAGCCAAAACTTTTTGTTTAGCTATTTGCTGCTGTTGTGCTGTTGTGTTCGCCTGGCCATCCTGGCACGCACACTAATAGATGCAAATACATACATTAGCACATCGACAAGCGAACAGGTGCACTGCTAGAAAAAGTGTTTGCCATTCGAACTTCACAAGTGGGAGAGATCATAAGCGAGCACTCAAACCTATTCTAGTTATTAGACACTCAGATGTGTAAGTGAACACTCAAACCTATTCTAGTTATTATTAGACACTCAGACTCAAACCAAATGCTCCTTTGCATTTCAAGATAAATAATCCTATTTATACCTTATATCCTATTTATGCTGCTTTTCTTTCAGTGCACACCAAACTCACACAAAGAGTTGCCGTGTCGCCGGTGAATGGGGAACATGTGTTTGCGCATTTAGTTTCCTTCTCCGCTGGCTCAACTTGATGAAGTGCAAAAACGAACAAAAAAAAGAATTAAGGCAAAGCCCAGGTGAGACAGGTGGAAAGTGGAAAAGCGGGGAAGGGGAGGAAAAAGGGGGGCGAAAGTTCAAGCTGACAGCTGTCAGGCGAGCTAACCAAAACATATTCGGGGGCCTTAAAGAGCAAAGCCATTTGAGCCCGATCAAAATAATCCCAATAAATTTGTCGCCAGTTTTCGGGGAAGTCGGGCAAACTTAAATATATATAGAGAGACAGACAGACAGACAGGTGGTGGTAGTAAAATCTGGCCAACACGAGACATTCAAGAGATTGCTTCATCGGCTTATGGATTTTTCCAATCCCAAATCGAAACAAATCGAGGCAAATGAAAAACCTCTGCGAAGTGAACATTCCGCGCTGAAGAAAGCATTTCAATCGCAACTCTTTTTGCTCACATTAACGAGTCTGCGTGAATATTTCTATGATAACTATCATGCATGTTGGGCAACTTATGGATTAGTTCAAAATTTCGTTTGCATTCTCCGCATTTCGGATCGTGATAATTAAAAGGTAATAATTTCAATGCTCGGCTGCACTCGCTGGCTGGGAGGAGTGAGACTTTCGATTTTCCAGCAGCAATTTTCCAACTATTTTCCAACGCTCCGCCTGCCCGCCGACTTTTGCAACAACAAGGGGATAATTCAATTAATCCGAGCCTAATGTCGGCGATCGATTATTAATAATATATTCATTACGAAATCCGCTCCATCAAAAATGCATAAATTAGGCCATCGAAATGGCGAATATATGCAGATGCAGATACAGATACAGATACTGATGCTGATGCAGATGCAGATACAGATGCAACTGCAGCTGCCAGTTTGTGTCAAGTGTCAAAAGTGTCGGAATGTTTGACAATCCGCTCGTTCTCCCTGCGATTTGCAATTTGATTATTGACCAATTGAAATGTTTCAACTCCACATTTTCCATAGTCTTTTCCCTTTTGGGAGGGGGCGGGACACACCTACAATCGGTTTATGTTTTAATTACGAAATTAATATCAATTATGAACTCCTGACCTCGATGAAACCGGCAAATCTGTAAATCAACTTTGCATAAATGGACACACACCGATGGCCAATTTCTAAATCGATTCCCATTCTGAGTCGGAAGGCGAAGTTCCGTCCCCGAATTTCCAGATACCCATTTAATCAGCAGGAATGGCATATTTCTCGGTTCCGGAATAACTCAATCTGCGCAACAAGGTTAACTCGTTAATTGGATAAGCCAAATGGAGTTGCCATAATCTGGTTTCTTCTGGATTGTGGCTGTTGTTAATAAAGTGACTTTTTTCCTTGGAAGTTTGAAGTGATTTCCAAATTGTTCTCGTTTTTGCGCCACTCGAAATTGACGTTTTATTTAATTTGGCAACAGCAAAATTTTATTGTCATTTCATTTGATTAAAAATTTCATAATGTGGGGGGCCTTGCTTTTTATTTTTTGTTGGCCGCTGCTGTGGGATATTTTGTCAGCAGGAAAAAAGCAGCAGCAGTCGCGGCGGGAAAAGTGAAAATCTAAAATTTCTGGGCCGCAGGCGACAAAGCTTTGAGTGTGTGCTTGTGTCCCCTTGAAAAGCAGCAAAAAAAAAAAAAGCCAAAAAAGAAGAAAAATTAATAAAAGGAATAAAAAAACGTGAGATAACACAAAAAAGATGAAATTGTGCCGCAGTATTTGCGTTTGGCGGCATTTTCCCGCTGCTGCTGCTGCTGCTGCTGCCGTCTCTTTGGCGCGTTTTCACATTTTCCCCGCCGCTTTTCCGTCCACCCCCTGCACCACCCCCTGCAGCTTGTTGTTGCTGCACATGGCGAACTGCTGATGGCTTCATATTCATTTAGTTTCCCAATTCCTTTTATTTATCTTGCCGTATGTCCCCGCCCTTCTTGTTTTATTTACATTTAGATGGAATTTTTAATTTTAATTTGGCACATTGTACGAGTACGAGAAGAGTCATTGGGAATATGTCTTTGTGAAAGGGATTGCCTGCTTTTTGGTGCACTAAATGTGGATCATATTAGGATCATATTAGCTGCTGGAAGACTCATTAATTTCTCCCTTCTTCCATTGAACGCTTACTACTTGGTTCTGCTAATGCAATAGACGCGAATTTGGGGGTTTTCCCAGATTTCCATCCCGATTTCCATACCGATTTCCAGCGGCTTTTGTCGAGATCCCCCGAAGCCAGCTGTTTGCCATCAGCGTATCGCTCCGTTTGCCAGATTCCGCGCGCAAACATTTTTCGCATATTTCCCCCATATTTTCGCATGCAAACGAAATCCTTTTGATATTGGCCGCCAGCAGCAGCGTCATCCGCAAGCCTCGTCCTTTTTCCATTTTCCATTCAACGCTGCCCCGTCAACGTAATCGTCCTGTGTGCCATGGCTACGGCTGAGGCTACGGGCCCCTTCGAAAAGCTTAACGATTTCATTAACAAGGACATACACAATGGCAGCTGATTGTTGTCGTGCTGTTGCTGTTGCTGTTGCTGCTGCCGTTGCTGCTGCCTGTCACAAATTTCACTGGCAATTAGCAGAGGACCGAAAAAAGCGAAACGCTTAACCGGTTTAATTAGGGGCGCCCCAACAACTGGCGGTGGCGGTGGCGGTGGCCAAAGAAAGGGGGAGGAGGCCAAGCATCAACTGCAAATTGTTTTCATTTTCCCCCGCAACAACAACAATAACAATACCAACAGCAACAACAACACTGGCGAACTGGCAATCTAAACTCGTCACGCCGGCACAAGAAAATCAAACAAAACACACACAAAACACACCAGAAACTTTCGCTAAAAAATAAATGCGAAAAAGTAAAGCCACACGAACCAGTCACAGAAAAAAACACACCGCCCAGTCAGTCCGGCAACCGTTGCTGCCCCTCATCGGTTGCAATAAATGTTGCAGGTTGCCATTAGAAGACTGGCGAATATTGAAAGCCAAGAAACCATGTCTGCGATTCTTGTAATTTTTCAGAGAGTTTCTGTCAAAGGAATACTGCAGGTCAAACGATCGCCAATTGCTATCCTCAAGAGCCCTCTGCTGCACTTTGTTTGCTATCAGTAAATTTTTCAGCCTATTTAAGATAAACCTCCATTATGCACAACAATTAGAAGAGTTTAAAATTTATTAAAAAATAAAATATACACTTTTTTTGGAAGCTAACAGAAATCTACAGGTTATAAGACAAAAGTAGATATAAGTGTGAATAAAACTGTTTTAGAATATTATAAATCATACAAACATTTCAAACAACTTAACACTATCTAAAACTTAGTTGTTTAGGTATTTCAAATTATAATAGAACTGTATTTAAAATAGTCATTTAGCAAACTTACCAAGCTAAGCAAACAAATGCAGCTATAACTTCCGAAGATATTGCAATTGGCTTATGAGTCCATCGAATACTGCACAATGCTGCCCGTTTTTTGTTTAAATAAAAAGTACTCGAAGCGGCGCTTGTTCTTCGGATTTACTTATTTCTCAACACCACACAACACACCAACAAAAAATAGGTAAACAAATGAGCACGTGACGACACAGAAGCAAAACCAAAACCAAAACCAAAACAAAACACTTAGCACAACAAAATAATCTGGGGAACGCGCGCGGGAAACTTGAATTCGAAATCGCTGGTGGGCCAAAGTCAAAGTCAAAACACGCAATTTATGTTGCCAGTTGCTGCTGCTGGGTGTTGCACGTTGCCAGAGTGCTGTTGCAAGTTGCTGTTGTTGCCGCACGAGGGACACGACACGAGACACACACGCTGAGCGCTCGCTTGCAACTGAAGTCGCCGTCTGATAATGCCGCCTGTGTTTTTCATTTTCCGACGACGACAGCGAGCCGACTTTTCCGAGCCGACTTTTCCGAACCCGAACTCTTGGCCCGAAGCGCAGAGCCACCGAGCCGCTCGCCTCACCACTTTTCCCCACTTTTCGTCGGCGACGAGTGCAGCGTCTGCATTTTCCTCTTTTGGGCGTGTGGTGAAAACTTGCGCCAAAATATTACCAAGCCGGTACCGCCTTCCCCTCCCCCTTCCCCTTTCCCCTACCCCTTTCCTTACCACCCACCACCCACCGCTCCACTCAACTGGGTTCGCAGTAGGCCGATGCTTTCGCAGCTCCATTTCGTTCTACGCCGCTCCTCATCAGAAGGTTACCGTCCAAAAACAGGAGGGATTTTCGATTTTATAATTTTTTTTTACTTATTATTTGGAAAACATGCATAAAATGGCCAAAAATAATGTTATCCGAACGGGAAAGGTATTTTCTTTCATGTTTCTAGCTCTATAATAAAGTTGCATACCAACTTTTTCCAATTTCAGAAAACAAATTTTTTCGAAATTTTTGTGGGGATACCCCTTAAATTTTTTTCAATCGATTTTTCCGTTTTCTCGCACTTTTCTTTTGGAAAAACTTGCATAAAATGGCCAAAAATAATGTTATCTCAACGGGACAGTTATTTTCTTTCATGTTTCTAGCCCTATAACAAAGTTGCATACCAGCTTTTTCCAATTTCAGAAGATTAATTTTTTCGAAATTTTTATTTACAATTTTTGCAAAATCGATTTTTCTATTTTTCGGACATATTTTTTCAGAAAAACCTGCATAAATTGGCCAAAAATTATTGTATCTCAACGAGAAAGGTATTTTCTCTTGTTTTTAAAACACAAACAAAAATGCAAGTGCAAAAAATGTTCAAAATTTGTTCGAAAAGAAGCATTACTTTCTTGGTTTTTAGGAACCTGCACAAAACCCGCTGACAGGGCTTCCCAAGCCGAGATTCCCTCGGACACGCGGTTGGCTGGCAGGCTGACAGGTAGCCAACAAGCCAAGTTATTATCGGCGAGGTAAGCAGGGTGCGCTGGCAATTTCGACAACTTGATCCTCATCCATTCACGGTCAGCTTAGGACGCGCACCTTTTGCGGCGGCGGAGACTCTCTGCTCCCACAAATCCCGACCGCCCCGGGCCATAAGCCAATTCAAGGACACGCGGACGGAGGAGGACACGCGGCCAAAAAGCCAAGCCAGATGCGACCGGCCAGACCAGACACTCTAAACACACAAGGAGCAGGGCAGGAAAAGGCGACGCAGGCTGGGAGTAGAAGGAGTCCCAAATCCTGGGACAGATAGAGCTTCGGGCGGAATGCGGCTGCAGGATTTGGGGGTCGCTCTGGTCGGTCCATGTTGTGTGTGCACTTTTATTCGTCCTGCCGCTGGATCCTCTTTATTTTGCTCCGCTTCCTTGTCGCTCTCAATTCCGTGCACTTGTTCCAGTCTTCATTGCAGCCAGCTCCCTCGAAAACCTGGTTTTTTTCAAATCTTTGACAAATGTAAACAGTCGTCCCTCCTCACTGAGTACACTTAAAACAATTTCTAGAACTGCGATTAGAAATTCAGAGAGGTATTGTTATTTTTGAAGCTATTACAAATAGCTGTAGTAAGTTCGCATAGGTAAATCTAATGGTTTAAACAAAATAATGCAGGAGTTGAGTTAATAACACTTAGTTTTTTTATATATTTTTTTAAATATTCAAATCTATCACAAGCGTTTCTCCAGTGCAATTTAGAGGCAATGCGGGTTGTGCTTTCCTCCACGATTTTCCCTTTGGCTCACACGATTCCCTTCTCCACGATTGTGTTCCTTCGGTGTTTTATTTTCCCCCGGTTGCAACTTTAGATTAGAGTTAATCAGCTTAGCGTGTCACTTTGACTATTAGGATCCGTGTTCTCGTTCGTCAAAGGACTTCACCCGGGTGGGTCAACTGGCAGGTGGTGTTAATTATGATTTGCCAACGCAGCACCGCCATCAGCCGGACTTTACGAGTCCCCAGGAATTCCGGCAATATCAGCTAGATCCTGCTCGAAAGTTTAAGTTTATTTTTCCTTTATTACGTATGCCCATACAAATTCATTCTTCCTTCGTTGCAAAATAGGAATGGTGAATACAATTATGGCATTCTAAAGTAAAATGACCAGCAAAAGTGTGAAGACTCAAAATAATATGTGGCGGTGACTGGATTTCTGATTCATGGCTGTCAATTTCGCGCGAGTGGCTTGAATTGAACGCTGATTGTTGATTTCTACTAGAAAGTGAGCCTCCACCTCGGTGCTCCACTAACCATTTTCACCTGCGAAACTTGGCCTTCCCCGAACAGGATTTTCGAGTTGCCCGCCGAGAAAGTAAACGCAACAGCTGTTGCAAGAGCAGGTTGCCCATGTTGCAGCAGCAGCAACATCACATCCATTGATTGCCATTTTGGCATTAGTTTCAATTTATTTCACTTTGAGTGTGATGGATGGCACCGGCGACAGCCAGCAAGCGGCGAACGTGGCCCAAAGTCGGGCCATCAATTGCACATTCCGCCGGTTTTTAATGCCAAAACAATTGTTGCTCAAAATAAATGTGTATCATTGCAAGCAGACAATGCGCAAAAAAACCAACCCGTTCGAGGCGAATCAAATCGAATCGCATCGCATCGAATCGAATCGAATCGAATGGCATCGAATCGAATGGCATCGAATTGAATCGAAGCGCAATTGAATTGCAGTCAAGAAGAGAGCCGAGGAAAAGGCCAGAAAATGCGAGCAGCTTGAGAAAATGCTGGAAGTGGCCAGCAGCAATCAGTTGGCCATTGTAGTTGTGCGGGGGAAAATTCTGTGAAGCTCTGTGTTTGGGGAAAACGGATGGAAGGAAGGAAGGGGAATCTCGGGAATCCCAGAAACCGAGAAGCCTCTCTGGCGCCCCTTGACAAATGTGCCGTTCAAATGCTGTGGACGCCATTTAATTGCCGACATTAATTGGCGCACTACGGAGCTCCTGCTTCTACTTCAACATCAACTCCCCCTCCTCAACCCCCTCCCCCGCCTTTCAATTAAATGCAAGGAAGTGGAAAAAGTGGAAAATTGTAGTGTGCTGGCAACGGGTTTTCGAAACGCATTGATTGTATATTTAGAAAGTGGAATTTAGGATCTAAAAAAACAAGGCTAAAAATCAAAACAATGAACTATTTAATTAAAATAACTTAAATCGGTTTCAAGAAAAGCTAACCCCAATTAGCCATTTTACCCTATCGAAATCTGTTGGCCAAATGTCACAAATTGCGAATAAGCACTTGCGAATATTCAATTAAACCGATTTATTCTCAGCGGGCAATTAACGTTGAATGCCACGGTATTAGGCGTGTCCTTTGTGTATCTGCTTGCTTTTAATAAGCCCGTCTGAGCCGGGAATTATTAGGGTAAAAGTGGCCACTGTTTAATAAGATTACCACTTGCATTTATATAAATTATAATCCAAGCGATTTGCCCGCAGTCAATATGACTTCCAGCGCTCAACCCGACGCCCAAAAATGTGCAACAATGCGAACCGAACTGCTAATTAGATGCCCACACACTGTGCAAATACACGAAAAGAAAAACCCCCCTGAATACTAATAAGATTCAGAACATCAAAAATCAAAAATAACAATGATGTAACTTGAATGAAAACCGAACAAATATCAGATACAATCTTCATTTATAAGAGCAATTCGTTCTTATTTTACTGAAAATGCCAAATAAGTACACAATATTCATTTCGTATGTTCATGTTTTCCCACTGCCCTTTTTTTCGCAGTGTACCCTTGCAAACAAGTACAATAGCCGGCTTGTGGAGTTACGGGTTAAAAATAAAATTGAATTGGTTAAATAAACAAAAGTAGCGAAAGGTATATTTATTAAATTTACACAACATCCGCTGCTGCTGTTAACCATTTCCGTGTCCAAACAAAATGGGGGCATGCACCCACACACACACACACACAAACACACACACACACAAGTGGAACGTAAAGGGGAGGGGGAGGGGTTTTGGTTGCAGGAGGCCAAAAATATGTAAGCAATAAATTCATGGGAAAAAACCGAAAGCCAACCGATGCAACAACAATACGCCGTGTAGCGCCCCTTTTGCGAAACGTGTAGGCGTGGCAAAATAAAATCAAACAGAAATTGCTTGCAAAAACACCCGTAGAAAACCTGGAAACTTTCTTCCTCTTTTTCGGGGGGTTGGTGGAGGGGAGGGGGTAAGATGAGGGGAGGGGGCCCCGAAAAAGTGCAAACAACTGCAAAAGCATATCAATAGCAATGATGACGATGCTCCACGTGACCATTCCATATTCCATGTTCCATATATTCCATGTTCCGTACTCCATATGTGGCTCACGAATGGCAAACGGGATATAATCACATGCACAGGCAAAAAAGAGTACGCTGCGTTTCGCAACTGTATGTGCAGTTGGAGAATAGAATAGTGCAGATCAAGCACTTTGTAGCAAAGCCAAAGGATATCCTCACTCACTCATTTGGATTCAACAACTTATTATATTTTACCGCATTTGTATCGATAGCATAACGGACATACACTGACGAAACGCACTGTGCGAGTTCGCATGCACTTTTTAATACAAAATTTCCAGGTTCTTGTTACACTTGGACGAAAGTGAAATATGGGCAGTTGAACAAGTTTGTACACGTATATTTCAATTAAAAATAATTAAAAATAAAGTTGCCACTGGTCAGTTGAAAACTAAGGAAAAGGTAGAAAAAAAAACAAAAGAAAAGAAAAGCGGGAGCTCATAGGAAACCAGAAATATCCGAGTTAAATTCTTGAATGTTTTCCCTACTTTAATAAGAAGCATTTCCATTTCGACCAGCTCACTGTTTGTACATTTTGCCAACTCGGAGAAAACTTTGTCGACTCTTTGGCCAAATCTGAC